GTGACCAAAAAGACTATTTCGCAAATAGGGGAGGTGGCATTCCAGTGGCCCTGGTGTGGCAAGTGCCGTCACGCCATGGCCCCGGAAGTGTCTCACTGTACCCGGTGCAAGTGCTGCATCCGTTAGAGGTACTGCCACCTCTCACTTTTTCAACGTTGCCTCACAAGACGGAACATTGTTCCGTACTTCGGATGTTTTGCGAGCTCCCTCTTGCTCCAGATGATGAAGCTGCCACTCTACAACACTCAGTGGTCTAAAATGATATACAACCAATTGTCGCAGTGGGACACACATAAAATTATGGACCTTCATTCCGAGGACTTTTACGCAGGCTTATTTTTTCTTGCCTTTAATATATATAATATATTCGGCCTGGGCATCCATGTGGTCCGTAACTTTGTGAAGAAGGAAGCCGAACCATGTTGCCCAACAAGGGTTATCACCCCACCAGGGAAGTGGCAATGGGAAAACGCCATAATGCCCACATTTATGAACATACCAAAAGAAAACACGAAGGAACCTCTTGGTTTACTCTTCAAAATGGGAGAGCCACAGAGTATTCCTGCAGATCTCCCCCTGCAGAAGGAAAAAAGGACGTGCCCCTTCTAAAATTGTACAATGCTGTACAATGCGCGTATGCTTACGGGGGACGATGATGGATTCCTAGAATGCAATCGTTGCCAATCATTGAGCCGTAAAATGGACCTTAATGATCACATATATCCTTCAGAAAAGTAAATTATTCATTAGGATAACATGTTCGTGGCAGGAAAAGACGGACAAAGGCCCAGGGTCATATTCATTGTTAGTACTAAAAAAAATGGGGAGATTATCGATGGCTGGCTGAGAAAAGAGCGCCCCTCGATTGACGTAGATTTGATTTATTGTTAAGAGAAGTGTGTTGGGTCCTACACCTCTGGCACTTTGAAGCATGAATACTATTTCAAATACCTCAGAGATAATGGATCCCCGATGGCATGTATAGCGAGACGGGCCCAGCTGGTTCTATAGAAATATAATGGAAAACTTGTTTTGGTATGTGACCAAAATTAGATGATTCCCGGAGATGCTGCTGTTGCCCTAAGCGAAATAGCTGTGGACTACGTTGTAGATATAGTGAAGGTTACAACAACAGTAAGTGATGTAATACCCCCCATGTTGCTAGATAACATAAACAGTGGGGGTGGTTCGGTTAGGCTGGTGGACTCAAGGCAAAAGATCCTGCATCTTTTAGAGGACGGAACCCTGTTGATGTGGGGTGTGAGCGGGGTGATGCATGTCACCTTTACCCCAGGCGTGTACGTTAGTACAGCCACTGGTTCAGGATTGGGGCTCGAAAATGGTAAAGAATTTACCAACATCACTGTGAGATGCTTGTCTGGTACATAGAGTGTAGCGTTGACACTGGCAGTGGACCAGGAACAGGTCGCTAAACATAGCCGTCTAACCGACCCCCAAGATTAAACTATTTCCATGCAAATAGAGATGTAATACACGGACTGTGATGGCCGCTTGATATGCCAAGTATACAATCGAGTATATGATATTCGGCCGCATACGGTTAATATAAAAGAAACTGCGGAGTAATTCAAGGCCATGAGTTATTAACCCTTAGGCCCCGGGTGACGTTCCAGAACGTCCGCATATTCCCGTCATTTTTTTTTTTATTTGTATTTTTTAAATTATTTTTGGAAAGGTTGAATTTTCTCGATTTATCCCCGCGGGGGTAGTGCCAGCAGCACCCTAACCCGGCCGGTGATCCTTGTTAAGTCTCCATCTTACAGTAAGTACAGTTCGCTTTACACCCGTGGTAAAGGGCGCATTATAACAACTAACAGGAGAACTACACCGCACAAGGTGTGTTTTGCTGGGTCGGGTCACCATTCACTGCCACACTTATGATTATCTCTTAATTATTCTTCCTTCCGCTATACACCCATTCTTTGGTAATTTAGTGTCTCTTCCCTCTTCCGTTTTTTCTTTATCTTCTTGTTTTATTTTCACATATTGTTTATCATTTTCAAGTTCTCCTTACCCTTTCTTTCTTTTAATTGCCCCTCTCTCTCTCTCTCTCTCTCTCTCTCTCTCTCTCTCTCTCTCTCTCTCTCCAACAGTGGCATAAGAGACGTGTGTGTGTGTTAACGAAGGCTTGAAGAACCGTGTCATCACCAGTAGAAGTTATGCCCTTCTCACCCTTACCCCAGCAAGGCTCTCAGATTAAGTCAGCTCCTCCACTAATCTTAACTCTAATCTAGGTCTCTAATCCAGGTACATGATTGGCTAAGCTCTATATGCTCTTCAAGTTTTTTTTGTATAAATCTTTTTCTAGTGTGTGTGTGTGTGTGTGTGTGTGTGTGTGTGTGTGTGTGTGTGTCCATGTCTGAACGCATATATGAATACATAAACAGCATACATATAGACAAACGCATATATGCATACACACACGCGGGCCCACAAATTCATAAACAAGTATACACAAACATAAAAACACACAGAATACATATTCACTCGCAGTTACGAATACATACACACATACACAAGCAAACTGTATTATACAAAAACAGATCCAAACATAAGCACTCATGATCAAAATATACAGATTACATTCATATACGAGAAAAAATAAATATACACATGCACACACAAACATTACGTACATGCAGACAGACATACAGAGGAAGACATACACACACACACTAAAAGCCTTAGACACAGACATTGGTACACAGTCTTCTCAGTATTCAAAACGACGGACTTTAAAAACACCAAATAACTCAACGTTACGAAACTGAGTCCCACTAACACACACTGTGGTAGGTGGACAGGGAAGCAACGAGGGAGGCACTGTACTCTACCACCTTCATTTCCCAAGCTGTAAAGTTAGGTACCAGCTTAATCACTAAATATCAGGGACCAGAAGGTTGAAAAGTAACACTGGGGATAAAGTTTTGAATCTATGGACTTAGGAACACTATTAGGGATTAGGATTGAGGTTAGGGAATAGGATTTGGGATAAGGGGATAGGATCAGGGATTAGGTCTAGTGCTTGTAAGATAAGTTTAGGATAAGAAGACTGGGACTATGATCATCGCATCAGACATTATAACAACAAGGTCTTGGGGCCAGAATCGAGCCCAGAACACCGCCCATATACTACCTGACCAAGATCTTAGCTCACATATTGAACTTTATGAAGAAATGTTCTCTAAAACCACGAACATAAAAGAACAAGATGACCCCAACAATGTTCTTTGGAAGGGTGCAACGGTGAGGCGAGGTGATGCAAGGTGAAACAAGGCGACCTTTCAGTGGTGTGTGGGTATATAAAAAGTGAGTGGTGGTTGGCGAGCGATCCTTTGTTTAACATAATGGCTCACCGCTTTCCTTTTGTCTCTGCTCTTGATCTATTGAGTGTGATGGTCTGTATATATTGTAAACATTAACCACTACTAAAATGTTTATGACTGGTTTATTGAGTGTGATGGTCTGTGTATTGTAAACATTAACCACTACTAAAATGTTTATGACTGGTTTATTGAGTGTGATGGTCTGTGTATTGTAAACATTAACCACTAGTAAAATGTTTATGACTGGTTTATTGAGTGTGATGGTCTGTGTATATTGTAAACATTAACCACTACTAAAATGTTTATGACTGGTTTATTGAGTGTGATGGTCTGTGTATTGTAAACATTAACCACTAGTAAAATGTTTATGACTGGTGTATTGAGTGTGATGGTCTGTATATATTGTAAACATTAACCACTACTAAAATGTTTATGACTGGTGTATTGAGTGTGATGGTCTGTGTATTGTAAACATTAACCACTACTAAAATGTTTATGACTGGTGTATTGAGTGTGATGGTCTGTGTATTGTAAACATTAACCACTAGTAAAATGTTTATGACTGGTTTATTGAGTGTGATGGTCTGTGTATTGTAAACATTAACCACTACTAAAATGTTTATGACTGGTTTATTGAGTGTGATGGTCTGTGTATTGAAAACATTAACCACTACTAAAATGTTTATGACTGGTTTATTGAGTGTGATGGTCTGTGTATTGGAAACATTAACCACTAGTAAAATGTTTATGACTGGTTTATTGAGTGTGATGGTCTGTGTATATTGTAAACATTAACCACTACTAAAATGTTTATGACTGGTGTATTGAGTGTGATGGTCTGTGTATTGTAAACATTAACCACTAGTAAAATGTTTATGACTGGTTTATTGAGTGTGATGGTCTGTGTATTGTAAACATTAACCACTACTAAAATGTTTATGACTGGTTTATTGAGTGTGATGGTGTGTGTATTGTAAACATTAACCACTACTAAAATGTTTATGACTGGTTTATTGAGTGTGATGGTCTGTGTATTGTAAACATTAACCACTACTAAAATGTTTATGACTGGTTTATTGAGTGTGATGGTCTGTGTATTGTAAACATTAACCACTACTAAAATGTTTATGACTGGTTATTGAGTGTGATGGTCTGTGTATTGTAAACATTAACCACTACTAAAATGTTTATGACTGGTTATTGAGTGTGATGGTCTGTGTATTGTAAACATTAACCACTACTAAAATGTTTATGACTGGTTTATTGAGTGTGATGCAGTGAAGAATCAATTTTGTATTACAATGCTTTTAAGTTTCATTCTGTTTTCATTGCAATTTCTTGTTTGGTTTCAGTCGTCTTATACTGTATATTGTATTATTGTGAGTAATGTGAACTACGTAGCTATCATCAGCACACGACCTCTGGCATTAGTTCAGGAGTTGAGACCAAAGTGCATTGCAGAACAGATAAGTGTGTTGCACTCTGTTGATCTAATCGCCAAAGAGGCAAATGTTCATCATGTTGCAACTTAAGTATGAGTTATTTGGGTTGCATGAGTTGTATGCGTATGACCGATCTGGTCTTGAAGGAACTCACACTCAGTGCCGTCACAACACTCTCTGGCAGATTGTTCCAACAGTTCATAATTCTCACCCCCAAAGATTTGCCCTCACAGTTTTCTGGACTTGTGGCTTCTTCAACCTTAGGCTGTGGCCCCCGTTTCATCCTTAGTATTTACTATATAATAAAATTAATTGCCATTTATGCTCTGAAGATATTGTATTTTTTAGAGACAAGGAATAAGTCGTAAAACATTACATTGATTTCCGTTTAATACCCATTTGTTGCTGTACCCGTAAGTTCATGAAGCACCTATCAATATCTTCTTTAGCAATGGTTTATAGATAATTTATTCCAAGTGAACTGTTTTATACTGTACTTATTCTTTGATAGTCACCAATACCTCTTCTATGAGGCTCAAAAAATGCAGCTCAATAAACAGTAATAGTTTACCCTCATTTTATATAAGTTTTCCTTGGAAAGTTATTCGGTCTACCATCAGGTGACGCCACTATCTCGCTGTGTCAACTCATAAAAAATAATGGTTATTAGGGAGAGTTATACCTCCTTATTAGCTATTCTTTGGTGTCGTAAGAGGGACGAATCACACACCTCGACCATATTGACTTTATATATTCAATCCAGAGCAGATTATTTCCCTACGTTTGTCTTTCAGTGTCACACTTTACTATATAATACATTACCTGTTGTTGAATCACCTGCCAGACCCTAACTCACATTCCTCGCTCTCTATTTCAAGGTTATGTCCTGATGATTCAGTTAAGATAAGCCGATATGACCCCTACCCTCCTCCTCCTCCTCCTATCCCACTCATCCAACACTGCTCCTATCCTCTACCCCACTCCCCACCTCTACTAGCCATTCCTCCCCCTCCCCCCTACTGTAACCCGTCAGGCAGAAACAACCCAACGTCTGTATATAGTATGGCCGGAACTGTATGTGTGTGTATGAATGTAATCTTTTTAGTAAACCACGCATTAATTATCTGAAATATATCAATAAATCATATATGAATGAAACGAAATATATCTAAAAATAATTAAGAATGATCCAAAATATATTAAAATATCCCTTACGATTAATCTAACGTAATCTTCTGAGTACAGTAAGTTAGCTCAATGAGGAAGATGATTTAACCCCTCGAGTACGATGATTTAACCCCTCGAGTACAATGATTTAACCCCTTTGTACGATGATTTAACTGCTTGAGTACGATAAATTAACATTGTTTTAAAAGGTTTAATATGATGACAAATACCCATGGGTATGATGACTGTACTCGGGGCAGGTTCAGTCATCGTACTCAAGGGCTTAAAAGACCATTATTCTCCTGACACAACTCTTGCCAGTGTTGTCAATACCTTTGTGTCTTTCTCCTGGCCATAAATGTTAATACGGGCTCCACTACAAGTGTTACCAACATCATTTTGTGTTCCGCCGGGTCTCAGAGGGGGAGAGAGAGAGAGAGAGAGAGAGAGAGAGAGAGAGAGAGAGAGAGAGTTATTGCGCCACAGTCAATAAGAACACCTGAGAAATATGTTGTGCAGGGACTCAGGAGGCACTGACCTGGCACTCAGGGGCAAGGTAACACTGTCTTGGCACTGACCGTAAACACCCACGAAACTCCACGTGTAAGAAGCTGACTATGTTGATGTTTACTGTATGTTAAACTCACACACACACACACACACACACACACTCTTTCATATATAAACGGACAAATATGCAGACCAACACACAGACACGCCTACACAAACTAAACAAATACACACACACACAAACATACACAAAATATACTCACATATACAGATTCACATGTATACACCGATATACACACACACACACACACAACTAGAAACACGTCTATACAGAATAACCTTCACCCTCCTTCTCCAAACCAAACCAAACCTATCATACTAAACATAGATGGTTAAACCTAAATGAGAGGTGCCACTATACAGGGTACATATACTCTACCTATTCTTCTTCTCCCTCTCTCCACCTCCCTCCCTCCCTCTCTCCCTCCTTCTCTCCCTCCCTCAGTTGTTGCCACGACAGGGGGGAGATCTGCCGGTCCTGGCAAGCTCTTATCGGAATGAAGAATCACATCAGACACTTGTGGTCGTGCCAAGTATGTCGTCCCGATTCCTATCCTTCCACACACACACTGACAGAGGGGGGAAGTTATTTTGGAAATGGGTCCTGTGGTGAAACTTGGTCTGTTTTGGGAATGGGTTCGTTTTGAAGGTTGGTGGGGAAGAGATATAGATGGGTTCGTTTTCAAAGTTGGTATGATTCAGAAGTGGGTCCGTTTTGGAAGTGGGTCCGTTTTGACAGTTGGTGAGTGAGGGCCAGAAATGGGTTCGTTTTCTGAATTGGTCTGTTTTGAGGAATGGGGTTCGTTTTTAAATTGGCTGTGATTCAGAAATGGGGTTCGTTTTTAAAGATAATATGTTTTAGAAGTGGATTCGTTTTAGAAGTTAGAAAATTTAAATCTCTCTCAGGTTGTAATAGTCCTTGAGTTATGATACTTTACACAAATACACTATAACAATACCTGTACTCCATCGTATATTACCGAGTTAATTACGTCATTCACCTGATAATAATCCTTCCTTGAAATATGAGCAAATGATTCAGTGGTACATGATGGCTTGTGAGCCTGGTGACCACTCTCAAACTGTGTTGCTTTGGAAGTGTGTACGTGTGGGTAGTTGGGTGTACGTGTGGGTAGTTGTGTGTACGTGTGGGTAGTTGTGTGTACGTGTGGGTAGTTGGGTGTACGTGTGGGTAGTTGGGTGTACGTGTGGGTAGTTGGGTGTACGTGTGGGTAATGGGTGTACGTGTGGGTAGTTGTGTGTACATGTGGATAGTTGTGTGTACATGTATACTCCTTGCCTACTCTCCCGGCCAACCTTCCTAACACTCTCCCAACACCCTCACTACCCACCCTCCCTGCCCACTCCCATTGCCCACCCTCCCTGCCCACTCTCCCTGCCCACTCTCCCTACCACGCATTACATCAGTGGCTTGTCAAGTATTAACCAATGGATATTAAGCTTGGTCGTGTTGCTCATATTATCATTGGCTGAAATCTGGGATAAATCGAACAGTAATAAATCTGGTTTGGTGTACAGACAAACAGACAGATAGAAATGACAGACAGGTAAATATGACAGGGAGAAATGATAGATAGATAGAAATGACAGACAAGTAAATATGACAGGGGGAAATGATAGATAAATATGATCGGGAGAAATTATAGACAGAAATGATAGAAAAATAAAACTAATTGACAGACAGAAGTTATAGAAAGAACTGATAGACAGATAATATAAGTGACAGACAAATAAGAATGATAAATATATAAACAGAAATAATAGGAATATATGATAGAAAAATACGAATTCTAGAGTAAACTAAAAGTACAGAAAATGGACAGAAATTATATAGTCCTTTAATAGATCAGAAATGACGGACAATAGACAGAAGTGATATAATATAATCCATAGACAAAAGATTGAAATTATAGAAACTTATATCGAAAGTTATTTATGAGTTTCTTGTTATGAATAATGAAAGAATAAATTAAAGTTAATGTATAAATTACTATACAATGAACAGGTAAAGAAGAATAAATTTGACACAGGTGAGTGAACTAGAGAGTGAGGGTGTAGGAGGGAGGGTGAGGGTGTAGGAGGGAGGGTGAGGGTGTAGGAGGGAGGGTGAGGGTGTAGGAGGGAGGGTGAGGGTGTAGGAGGGAGGGTGAGGGGTGTAGAAGGGAGGAAGGGGTGAGGGTGTAGGAGGGAGGGTGAGGGTGAGGAGGGAAGGTGAGGGTGAGGAGGGAGGGTGAGGTGTAGGAGGGAGGGTGAGGGTGTAGGAGGGAGGGTGAGGGTGTAGGAGGGAGGGTGAGGGTGTAGGAGGGAGGGTGAGATGTGCGACAGAGTTCGGAATGGGAAGAAAATGAAAAACTCTCTCTCGATTCATTAATGAAAGGTTAGGTACACACACACACACACACACACACAGAGCCACCTGTTGTAGTTATGGGCTTTGCACTATACCATCACTATCTCTCTGTTGCTGTAGTGGGGGAAACAGGGTCGAGCAACGTGTATAAAGACCAGAGGTTCTTTGTGACGAAACGCTATTGGCAAACTGAAAATGTGGGGGTAGTTGTGTGTGTGTGTGTGTGTGTGTGTGTGTGTGTGTGTGTGTGTGTGTGTGTGTGTGTGTGTGTGTGTGTGTGTGCATGTATGCTTGTGCTTGTGTGTATGTGTGTGTTTGTATGTATCTGTGACTGTTTTCCATGTGTATGTTTCTCATTTACGTACATCTTTTAAACACTACATACAGTATAGATCTACCTGGACGTATATACAGTACACCTGGTGGTCACATATCACAGAGAACTATTCACTCTATACACCAGGTAAAACGTAACAATTCAATAAGTAAAAATAAAAACACTGGCACCATATGTTGTCACCTTTGTAATGTGTATTTTATCTATTTCTGTATAGTCATGTTCTGATACAAATGTGTGTGTGTGTGTGTGTGTGTGTGTGTGTGTGTGTGGCATCAAAGCATCACAGTAATTGGCAGTTTCCTTTTGTACCGTGAAACAGTCATGGCAATACAACTGTTCTATGATAACTAACTTTTTATCTATTCTGTCCGCAAAACACACACACACACACACACACACACACACACACAGTCAGAATCACACACGTCAGACTCACACACAGTCACACCACACACAGTCAGACTCCACACACAGTCACACACACACAGTCACACCTACACACAGTCACACACACAGTCACACCCACACACAGTCAGACTACACACAGTCAGACTCCACACACAGTCAGATCACACACAGACTCTCACACAGTCAGACTCACACACAGTCAGACTACACACAGTCAGACTCACACACAGTCAGACTCCACACACAGTCAGACTCACACACAGTCAGACACACACACAGTCATACCCACACACACACACACAGTCACACTCACACAGTCACACCTACACACAGTCAGACCACACAGTCACACTCACACACAGTCACACCACACACAGTCACACTCACACACAGTCACACTCACACCAGTCACACTCCACACACAGTC